GCAGCGCACCAAGTGAGGAGGGCAACGAAGGACCAGGGAACTGGGAACGGAGCTTGCCGCTTGCATGGACAGCGTTTTCTTTTGACGCCTTCTTTTGACCTTATTAAGCCTGAAGTAAGATCAAAAGATCACCCCCCCCCACACCCCCCTTCTACTTTCCATGATTTTGGAATACTAATGTTGAGCCCATAGAAATAAAATAAGCCCAGTGTGTTCATGGATGTTCCCCTCCAAAGGTGGGCTGAGTCCCCACTAAACCCAGCTTGACCACCCCCTCTATTTGTTTAGTATGGGGTCAACATTAACATGCTCTTGAAAGTCCTCTTGTGTGCCTTGTCCGCATGGAAAAAGAGCAAAGCCTGGCTCATTTATAGACTTCAGCAGGGAATCCTTCATGCTTTGGTCAATGAATGTGCTTCGACAGAGGCAAACATGTCACTGGAGAAGGATGCACTCAGCTGATTCCCAAGAGAATCCTTTAAAACAGATTGTATTTCAGCATTTGTTTGTCTCGCACAGCCGGTAGGTCACCCCCACCTGGGAAATAAAATTGCCTTCACTCACTGGGACAGTGTGTGTGTGTGTGTGCGTGTCGGTGACATCTCCTTATACAGTTTACCAAGAGGAGGTTCCTGAACTAAACATTGGTCAACTGTTCTCAATATTCATTTTGAGGGATGCGAACTCCTTTTCACTGCCACGACGGTAATTTAATGAGGTTGTCACGTTGGTACCAGATGTACATGGGGCCCATAGTCCTTTGGTACTTGCAGCGCAACCCACAGAGATGTCCATCTGATCCATTGATCAAAGCGCTGTGGCATTTTGTGTTCGGACAGTTTGGGGCACCAGAGTCATGGCAAAGGACAACAGCAAAGAGGTACAATCCTTTCAACATTCTATGCTTCTATGGTTTTTGCGAGGATTTCGCATACCCTGAGGAAGCACACGCGTACTCTGTGATGGGCTGTTGGCTGTATGTAGTGGTGATTTGAATGGCTCGCCCGGACGGTTTTGATTGCGTGCCTGTTGCGAGCTGCTTTTTGTTGCGTTGGTGCTTGAATATGAAAGTCCCTTGGAGAAGTTAGTATTTCCAGTGCGTGAAGCGATATGCTCAGATAAGATTGATCACTACAATGCAGGCACGTAACGAGGCAACTCCTGCAACTTGCGACAGTGTGTATGTGCGCGTGCAGCTACATGATTACTAAGCTGTGCAGTTTCTTCTTTCCAATATTGTTTCAGAGCAGGTCATGGCCCTTGCTAGTCTTTGATGGCCTCTTAGGGCCATTATCAGTCACTCATAGTCACTATTAGGTTACCCCTTGTTCCTCTTTGTTTGAATCCGGGTTGCTCCTTTAAAAATGGTCGAATTCCTTCCTTCCGGAGGCTTGGTGACCTGGACTAGGCAAGGGGTCAACATCTGATTGTCACCCAGGGCAAAGGTCAATACTCTTGATGGACAACTCCACCAGTTGGTAAGTGGCTAATTCGCTGGTATTCATGCGGGTGCATCCATTCACAGGGCCGAATTACATGATTATGCACATGAATATCCTATCATGAAGCACTCCCTTTCATTCAAGGTTCAATTGAGCAGCTCTCACGCGGAATCTTCAAGTTGGAGTTGTTGAGGGGTGTCAGAGCCGAAGCCCTCGGATCTTCGAATTCGATTCCATGGTTTTCCCCCAAGCAAGCCCTCCAACAAAAGAGGTTCAGCACCAGGGTTGGCAATGGAGCTGTCCCTTTCACAGCAGGGATTCAGCTTGGGGTCAAGTGATTTCATGAAGCACTCCCCAGCTTTGGATTGGCCAGTTTCTGTTCAGAGGCTTCTCAAAGTCCAAGCACCAGAAATTCCGGACACGGCGAAGCCCTGAGGTTTTAATTATTTTCTCCCACCGAAGTGTTCAAAGTTACTCATATGCATATGGCCATGAATGCTCATGGTAATTCACCTCACAAGTTTCTGGTGAACAGACATCCCCATCTGAACGATGCCCGCCAAAGGGTTCCCAACGAAAATTCACATATATATATATATATATATTGCCGATCATATTTTCATTTCAGGAGAATCTGAGATGTGTACAACTACGGTTGTCACTGCTGGTATCACTACTTACCCAAACCCGCAGAGTTTTTCAGATGCAATTGTTCTCGCAGGATGCTCTGCGGAGCTTGTGAGCCGTTCCCTGAGCGATGCTCAGAAGGCCAACCGCCGCATCAACCTCCGGGTGCGGTTGCCAGCGCTTGGCCCTCGGATTGCCCAAGAGGCCGTAGTCGATAGTTTCTGGAGGTTGATTTCTTCGAAGCAAACGGTTTGTCAATCCACGGAGGACCAGCACCTCCGAACTATTTTGGCCCGTACTTCTGATTTTGGACACGTTGGAAAAGCAGTTCTTGGGGGGTGCTGGGAAGTGAAGGTTGGCAGCCTTGCGAAAACGGATAGCTCGGTTGCAAGAGAGTTGCAGTGGATCCGCCTATGGATAGAACGAGCTATTCCTCGTTTTTCGGGGACCTGTAAATGATGGAAACCTGACGCAGATCCGTTGCCCGCGAACCCAACAATCAATGAGAACCCCCTCCTTCCCGTTTAGTTGGCTTAAAGGGGAAGCCAAGTTTGACAGCCGCCATTTTTTCGGCCCCACGTTTTGAGGCAACTCCAACATATGTTTGGTGGTGTAAAATCCGGTGGCAGACGTTTCGTGTTGTTGCTTCTCGGGCAAGAAAGGAACTGGGGGGTCCGGGACCGACCCCAATACTTGGCTGGGTTTGAGGTGCTGTCCGTTTTCGGGGCTTGGGAAGCATGCTAAGATCGTTAGCATGCGGGAAGAGAGTGCACGTCAACATGGAACCTGCACAGCCCTCCAAGGAAACTCCTGGCTGACTCCTTGTATATGTTGGGTTCCAGATGTGTAGGTTTTCGCTCATGTTGATCTTGCCACTCAAAACCAATTGTTCACGCTCCACTTCATCCACGAATGTGTTTGATTTCGACGAGTTTGTCCCAAGGATAAAACGGAGTTTAGGGCGACTTTGTGTGACCAGGCCCCAACCATGGCTCTTTGGTCTAAACCTCGGGCCGTGAATGGCACTTTCATCTTCTCTTCTTCTCTTTCAACTCTTAAGAAAAGGAGCAGTCCCATTCAGAGATGAGAACAGCTTTCAAAGAAGGAAGTTCCTTTCCAGATTAACAGGGCAGCAACTCATGCCCCAATGGCGTCGTCTCTGCTGTTTGGGACCCTTGGTGGTTCCATTGGGGAGTCCCTGAGAGACGAGTGAAGCCGGGAAGCCAAAGGTTAAACAAAGCCTAGGTTACTCTTGAAGGGAGACCATGCATTGCAAACGGCAACTCTTTGGCCATTTGAACTGTATATGATATAGAAATATATATATATATATATATACATGCATATTCATGTATCTATCTGTATATACATATTATTATGAATAATATATATATATATATTATAATTTAAGCCAAACAAAACATCACCCCTCAATCAGAGGTAATCTCAAGCAGCGACAGGGACTACTCTCCCATCTACAACACGGAACTCGGAAGACATTTTTTGCTCTAAGGTGGGTTCCATCTACATCGATCTACATGCACACAAGGATATCATTGACACTTGGTCAACCTGCAACAAGAGGCCAGCATGCAGCCTTCACCAGTGAGGTTAGTTAGAGCTGGGACCTTGCAAGAGCATGCAACAGGCTGTTCACTCGAAGGGAACCTTTGGTTTGTCTCAGATTGGTGGACTCAACCAAGAAGGCCTGCAGCAGCGCCAGTGTTTTTTTGTTGTTGACTGTTTTATTTTTGTTGTTGTTTTTTTTTTGGGGGGGGGCTTTAAACAACACTATCACAAAACAGATGCCTTTTGTTTCCCGCCATGGTCACTTGAGGTTTGAGCGAAGAGCAAACCCATACATATATATATATATACACACATATGTATACGCACGTATATGCATACATATCTCCTCACATCCCGAGGCGACTCCTATGGGCGTCATGTGTTTGTTTGCCTTCCTTGAGGTGCGTCTTTGGCACTCTGCTGATGGGTCTCTCAATGTGGTGGGCTCTTTGGACCGCAGAGCTTGTGAGAGGAAGTGGTTTAAGGTTGGTCAAGGGATGTGTCCATGGTTTGCTTAGGGTTGGTTTGTGCTGTGTTGGCTTGTGGTTGGATTGAGGCTATAGTTTAGGGTGGGTTTGCGTGTCTCACAATACGGAACTCTCTTTCGGTTTGTGCGAGGGTCCCGTGCCATGTGACTCTGTTGGTGAGCGGCTCTTTTCGGCTCCAAAAATGTTCAACGTGGAACATCGCTTGGCTGCCCAAAGTGATCGATTCCTCGAAGGGCGATGTCTTTGGGGAACATGGGGTAGCCAGTTCAACAGGCGTTCAATAAGCAGTGGTGTTGATCTTATCTGGATCTTTCGGTGGGCGCAGCAAGGCAGCTTTCTGTGCTCCCCTGGGAACTTACCGGATTTGAGATGTTTTCGTGTTGTTACGCTCATGTTTGAGATACCAGTTTTTGGGCTGGAGACCAGTTTTGAATCCCATTCTGGATTCTGGATCCAGCTTGGAGTTTCTCTTCAGCGTTGCTCACGAGTTTTGCATGACTTTTTTCAGGTCCAAATGGGTATGTGCCGCAGGGATTTGGACCCCAAGAATGGTGCGTGTCCTTTGGCTTCCCTTTAAACCAAGCCAAGGGTAGCCTCAAGGCGGTTTGTTAGAGTTCTTCGGGTCCTTTTACCTGCTTTCACGCTGGTAAAGCACGGAATTGGGAGCTACCCTAGCGGTGGCTGGAGGCCATGTGGTTTCTCTTTAACGTCAGCAAAATCAGGCAGGCAAAGTGTTTTTCAGGCAGGCAGTCTCGGTACCGATCCTGGTCGGAGAATTTGCCCCCTCACCCCACCACTTTCTAGTGGAAGGTTTCATGTTTGTCGATCTGGTCAACGTTGGGACCAACTCACATCTTGGCCCTTGACTAGAACGATGAAAGTGCAAATCTAACAAACCAACTAGGGAGGAACACTGACTCCAAGTGTTGGAAGTAGCAAATGTGCCGGGGACGAGTTGAAGGCTGAGCAAGCTTTGGGAGTCATGTGCGGTTATGTGCCCAACTCACATCGCGGACTTAAGTAGCCTCCTACCTTTTTAACCTTCTGCCTCCTTGGATTTCCCTTTACCAGCTTAACACCACAACCAAGGCCATCTTCTACAGCCAGCCACCCCCCCCCCAACTGCCAAAACAAACATCCCTCAATTCCAAATTCCAAGCAGTCGGCCCCCCGAGGAAAAAAAACACAAAAACGAGCATCGGAATGACTTGGTCACATTTGGTCTATAGAGGTCTCAGGTCGTTTCAACCTCGATAGGTCTACACGTCCTGGACCGCGCAGAGCGCCGCCTTTCTGCTGGTCCGGGACCTGCTGCGCTCCTGGGGCTGCTTGGCCTTCCTCTTCGCGGTGCTGCCCTCAGATCGGTACGGCGCCAAGGCCGGAGGGATGCGGAGGGATCCGGAGGGATTCGGAGGGATCCGGAGGGATCTGGATCCGGAGCCGTAGATGGGTGGGTGGTTTGAAAATGTTCCCCAGGAGTCATCCCTCGCCGTTGTTTCTCGATGTTTCGAGGGTACACTAAAGGGGGTTCAGCAAAACTTTGCAGTTTGGGTCTGTCTGAAAATTGGGAACCCAACAAACCGTGGCCTTCCCTCTTGGTGTTCCTTTTGGGGTTGAAACCTCAAAAGGGTGCTCTCAAAACATCTCATGCACATTTTGAACAACACTGAGCTTCGACTCCCCCGACCGGGGACGCACCTCCCAAAAGAAGCCATCCATCCTCAGAAACCACCAAAGACAAAGCCAACCAGCTGCCATGTTGGTTTGCTCCCCAGGTCTTTCATAACAAAAAAAAAACATTCATATGTCCTGCTTTGCCTACGGTGCATCTGGGAGAGACATTGAGATGCTCTGACTTTCCCACCAATTCGCAGGGGACCGTCTAATTTACCCATGTCCAGTAGGGTACCTTTTGGGTTTGTTAGATGAGTTTCTGTGCATGTGTTATTTTGACACAAGCCCAGCAGACTGCATGGGCTCTCCTGCAAATGGGGGAGTATCTCCTTTGGAGGGAAGGCAACCCTTGGAGTTCCACGTGAATTTGCAGGGGAATGAATAACTGTTTCAAGATGAGTCTGGTTGCTTGCTGCGCTTCGCACAAGCACCAGTCGAAACAGCGCAGAAGGGGCTGCAAATGCACGCTACACACATGATTATCCTTTGGTGCAAGCTGGAACCTGTCTATTGGACCTTTAGGGTCCCCTGAATGCATTCCGGAATGGATTCATTTAGGTGTCCTTGTGAAACCAACCAAAAAGGCATCCCCCAAACGAGGCACCCTGCTATTCTTCGGATCCCAACGAGCTACAGTCTGACAGTTGTCCCAAGCGATGCCCCAACGTAGAATCAACACACCCATTCACCCGGATTCAGACATCGAGTTTGACTGGTTTTCCTCCAAATGAAACAATGTCGAGATAAGTGACCCCAAAGGCACATTTCCTAGAACCCATTTGCGATCGCCCAATGCATCCCCGCCCACGTGTCGCACGGATTCTTGTTCGAGGCAGAGGATTGCCCAAGACCTCTGGAAGGGCCCGAAGGAACCAAGGAACCTGAGGCACATATGAATGTGTGTTTCTTCACTACCAGCGTCCCTGTTGTTGTTTTGAAAAACATGGGAAGGCAATTTCAGTAGCAAACCAACAGTTCAAACTTTGTTTGCGAAATCTGCTCAGAAAGTGAGTTGTTCTTTGGACATGCCTGTGGGTTTTGGTCCATGGTGGCAAAAGAACACATCGAGTCAAATTCTTGTTCGGCTTGCTTGCGCCAGATCGGCTCTGTGCTTCTCATCATCCTGGGGGTGAAGTGCTTGATCTGGCACACGGCGACTTGGCTCTCAAGGCTACCGATTCGCCGATTCGCCGATTGCTTCAAGCATATCGAATTTTGCCCTGTCGAAACCTCCAGCCTGGCCAGGCTGACGTTTTGCTGGTTGAAAGGGAACAAGGAAAGCCGAAATTGGCAAACGGGCAAAATGGTTACTGATGTCATGTTGGATTGGTGGAATTTCGACTAGAAGCCCCCACTTCTCGGCGAAGAAAGAGGATTGTGAGACCGCCCTCCCTCATCCCTCAGCCCTGCCAAATGGGAGCTTAACTTGTGATGGCTCCTTCCAACAGGAATCCGAACCAGTGTCATGCTTCTCGTTTTGCAGCTGTCCCTTGCCGTAGAAGGACCTGTTGTCTTGCTCATCCCGAACGAAACCGCTGGTTGCAGACAAGGAAGTATTTGCAACAGTTGTTTCTTCCTCTTTTTGTTTCTCTCTCTCTCTCTCTGTGAGTCTCTCTCTCTCTCTCTGATCTCTGGGCCCTCTGGAAATACTCGGAAGGGAGTGTGTCAAGACAGGAATTCGGACCCCCAAAATGGCTTTGGTGTGCCTGCTGGTTTCCCTATAAAACAACCCAAACAAGGGCACCCTCAACAAAACACAACCCCTTATTTGCAAGTATAGGGATTCGGCACCACAAAATGGTGGTGCTCCTTTTGGTTTCCCTGTAACTCACCCGCAAAACGAGTACCTTGAAAAACATCGACCCACCGGCCCACCCAGCCAGCCAGCCAGCCAGCCAGCCAGCCAGCCACCCATCCACCCACCCACCCACCCACCCACCCACCCACCCACCCACCCACCCACCCACCCAGCCACCCAGCACGCATTTTAGGAGACCTTGATCTCCTACATGCGCCAGCTGCCAGCCTTTTATGAGAGCGCGGCGCCCTGCTACATTGAGGACAAGGAGCGGATCCGACTATTTGGGCCCCAGCGGTTTCCCATGTAATGGTTTTAAAGGGAAACCAAAAGGAAGACCGCCCATTTCGGGGGTTCCCAAAAAAAAGAGACACCCATGTGGGTGTATCTTTTGTCGAGCGTGTGTGTTTGTGCGCCGTTATTGAGGGACGCAAAGAAAACACATTTGTTGGTTTTGTTTTTTGGTAGGTGAAGTGAAACTGTTTTTTGAAACCGAATGGAAAGCCAGGGAAGAACTTCATGGGAATCTTGTTCCCAGGAGTTCCCTTGAATTTGAACTTTCGGAATTCGGTTTCGACCTCTCAGCCACATGGTGATCTGGACACCGGCCCAACATGGGGCTGTTGAACCCTTCCGACATGTCCGATCCCCTTCTTTGGCCCAAACAAATGGATTTTTCGGCGCCGGGTTCTTGGAGCAAAAAGAAAAATGTGCCGGGCCGGCCTGACTCACTCGGAAGCTTCACAACTGAGCGACAAATAGATCGAAGCATAAACACAATGTATTTGGCGCAAGTGTTTGTTCCATGTCGTAGTTTGTTTGGGAAAAAGAACAAACATGTTTTTTTGTTGCTAACATGCAAACATCTATATACATATATGTACATATATATATATAATTATTGCCAATGTATGGGTGCTGTTGCGCAACAATTAGTTACATCAGGACGGCCCCGCACCGATTAACATGCCAGGGGTAGGAAGGCAAATCTGTGGTTGCCCCTTTTCGTGCAGAATCCGCTTCTGTCCTCGTGAGGAGACGGACTGCAATCTAGGCTCAGCGTCTTGGGGCTGGAGTCGCAGAGGTTCCACTCAGTCACTCAGTTCTCAGCTTTTGGTTTTACAGAACCTCAAACAAATTCTTTCCGAACGGAGATTCACCTTTTTTTTTTCTCGAGTTTCATTTTTGATGAGTAGAGCCTCCATCCTGCTCCCTCGGGCGTTTCCGGTCTGGCTCTGCTTGCCTTCTGCAGGCAAACCTTGGATTGGTCAAGGGGTTCGTCTATGTCAACATGAATTTCACCGTGTAATTGCGGACCCCCTCACTTCCAGCGCGAAAAGGTCGCGGTTCGCGGTTCACGGGTTCCAACAAACATGCCGAAGGTGCAGAGATAATTTTTGCGGGGACCCGTCCTGATGGCCTTAGGACAAATCACATCTGCCCAAAGGACCCAGAATTAACAGTTGAACTTGGGACCTTGTGATGCTTTGGGATTGGACCTCTTGTCGGAGCTTGACAGGAGGCTTCCACTTTCCAAATGAAGCCAAGAACTATTGTTTTCTTTGTTGGCATGTCACTGAAGGCGTGCCAGCTCTATCGCACATGTAGACGGGACTCAGCCGTGCGCGGTGTGTACGCCGACAACCGCTTACCCCGGCCGTGCAATGGTCTGATTTGTGGGCTTGACGCGAGACCAACTCCGCATTTGGTCTTGGATGGCCAGACTAAACTGTTGGATGTGAATGTGGAGCAGCCAATGGCGCAGCTTCCAACCACAGGCGCCAACTGCGGCACACTGAGTTGCAAGTGGCGCCTAAGGCTATGTAAGCGCAACACAAGCTAAACCTTGTCATGGTGCTGATATTAAGTATCACTTTCTTGGTCAGCAGTTTGCGCTAGTCCCAAAGGAGCTGGCAAAGTATTCACTTGGGCCTTACCATCATTTGTTCGTGTTCGAGACAATTCAAACATGCTCATGTTATTTGGTACATTGATGAGCCATATCCAGAACCCAACTCCTGCTGGGAATTCCCGGAACGCGCGTGACTGACTGATTTTGGTTACCGCACACTCCTCGGATATATGAAGGATTTCTTGTCACATGACGACAAAGGGGCAAAACATTCTCGCACAAGGAGATCTGGGGTGCACAGGTCCCATTCACTGGGGGCGTGGGGGGTCACTGGTTTGATCCGCAGAGTCTGAACCCAGTGCAGAACCTTTCGATTCGTTCAATCTTAACCATCAAAGGGCGGTATGTTTGCTTGTTGTTTTCGGGTCACTGGGCAAGTGAAACTGTTGGTGGCGCTTGGTTCAAAGTAGCTCCGTGGTCTTTACCTTCAACTCCGCGCCTTTCCAGTGCAAATCCGGAGGACGAAGGCAGCACTTGTTAATAAGGCTTGTGCGTTCAATCTGAGGCGCTAGTTAATTACCAACCATTTGCTTCTGTGATCATGACTTATTTTGGCTTTAGTCACCCCACATCGTTTCCCCATTCTGACCATGTAGGTCCTCGCAGCTCTTCTCAGCCAGTTTGTGAGAAGCATTGATCGAATCAGGCGCCTTCACGATCGGGGCAGTGTCCTCGCTGTACATCATCATGTGCCTTGCCTGTGTTCCCCTGCGACGTTTGTAAGGAGGCACCGAGGCCTACACGTTGTGGTGGCAGGTTTTTTCCTGTGAATCCAGGCCCAACAAGTGAATCAATTTTCTAACCCGTGATCTCAGCAGGTCAGAAACAGGGTTCCCTAAATTTTAGGTAAATGTTCAGATTTACTGCATTGCAAACCACAAAGGACTCACTTTTAGCTGGCCTTTCCAACTGGTGATGTTCACAGCGAACGCAAATGCAAGTGCACCTAGCGCATCCAAAGGTTGACAGTTACACACAGGTGAATCCACGTGAATCAACCAGCTCCAGCTACACAATGTAAAATGCTGCTCAACACGCCCGCAACATGCTTCGTGTTTGAGGCGCTGAACAGAAGCACACATATTTGCCAGTCAAACCGGTAGGTGAGTATCTGACATTTCCACATTTAGTATCCATATTGTTGTGCTCATGCGACTCCCTCTTTCACATCCAGGAGCGCATGGGCGTTTTGGGCCCGAACGTGTTAGTTTTCCAGTGGATCCGCGGTAATTCATGGTTCAGCTCTTAGCACCATAGCTCATGAGCCGTTTTTCTTGTCTGAGACCCCGCTTCTTACATTCCCTGAAGCCGTTTCCTTTTTCGCACCCATTTTGGATTCTCAAACAGGGTTTCTATTTCCAACGCTTCTCCCTGGCTTCCTCGTAAAGGGCACCTAGTGAACATGTCCGCCAAGGGCTACCAATTCCCTGAACCATTTTCTTATTTCCTGAACCAGTCTCTTGCACCGATTCCTTTTGCCCTTTATTGATACTTGTTTCATTTGGAGGGAACTCCATTGCAAATCAGCTACCAAAAAGCGGTGCCTTTTCCTCATAGAAATCCACTGGAGCCTAAGCCAAGCCCCTCCTCCCCCGTTGCAGCACCCAGCGCCCTGTGGCGATTCCCTTCATCAAGGGATACCAATGCCTATAAACTGATTCCCAATGAAGTAGAATAATGGATTCCCGCCACCAGTGTCCTTACATAATCCATTTCCGCTTTCCCCAACTGGAAGGAGGCAGGGAACCAAGGCAGCCCCTTTGTTTTTGCAGCGAAATCCAACCTGTAAGCCCCTCGACCCATTCCCTCATCTCATTCCCGCAACCAATCCCACTTCCCTCAGCGAATTCCCCAAATTCAGGCATTCACTGAAGATCTATGAAGTCTCCTTTTGGGGGTACGCAAAGCCTCATCTCAGGATATTTACATAGCTGCTTGCTGCCATTCAATCTTTAGGGTTATATAGAGCATCGAGGGGGGGTGGCAGCCTTTGCAATGAGCATTCACAATACAATTACGCCAGCATAGATCCCAGATAGCAGGTTTGACCGGAGTGGCTCATCTTTTTCTGCAGCGCATCAACTCAGTCAAGAAGCATGACTATATTGCAACCACAAACTATTATGCGGTACATATGCATATATTGTAGACACAAACAGCGCCCTGATGATGTCATCAGCATTTTCGCAGCGTCATTACAAATACCACGGCCACGAACCACTATGCGCTGCTTAAAAGCACAGACACCGAGTGTAAACATGATTTTGACAGCATCATGATGATGTCGCATCCACAAACAATGTGCCTGGCCAGCACCCACAACCGCACCCTGACCAACACCCAAAACAGCACTCTGCCCAGACCTGACCAGGACCCTGACTGCAGCCTTAAGCGCACAATCGGCACCCTGACCAGCACAGCACCCTGCCCAGCACCCTGACCAGCACCCTGACCAGCACCCTGAGCAGCACCCTGACCAGCACCCTGACCAGTACCCAGGGTTACCTGAGAAAAGATTGCCAATCTGTTCACTCAAAATAGATCAAAACCGAGAGCCACTGCCGTCATGGGTAAGTCATAGCTTTGGTGGCTGCAAAGTGTCGCTCAACTTCCCCCTTAGGTTCCCCTTAAGCTGTTGTGAAGAGGGCGCCTCAAAAAACAAACACATACACACACACACTGAGTCAAAATCCAGGTGGTTTTTGGCTATGCAGGTTCATACTTCAAAAGAAGTGCGATTTGCTTTGCGAAATCGGGCCAGGTGGGTGCTGCAGGTCCTTGTCAGGGTGCTGGTCAGAGTGTTGTGTTGCTTGCTGGTCAGAGTGCTGTGTGTGTGTGTGTGCTTGAGGTGCTGTGGTGGTGGTTACTGCTCGGGTCATTGTGTTGGCTGTTTCTACTGGTTATCAAAGTCAGAAACTGGGGTCTCCCTTTATCCCACCACTTAGGGGGTGACTTTGACAGTGGTTGATATTGGGTTCAGTCAGTGACTGGTTGTTGAGTGGTAAATAGTTTGTTTTCTTTTTTGTTTGGCCGATCCGCATCGATCCGCTTGCTGGGTACCAAGAGGGTGGCCTCGGGTCGCGCAAGGCACCTCTGGCAGCTTCCATACCTCGCCTGGGGCCTGCGCATGCCCTCGAGGGCCACCACCGCAAGGATGTGGATCGGCCTGGCGGCCTTGCGCCCCGGCGAAAGGAGTCGTGACACCTCGAAGCTGCCCAAAACCCGAGACAACCAGCCCCCGATTTTGTTTTTTCTTTGAGGGAATCCCCAGAACCGGTGTGCACATGATGGTTCTAGTTGTCTAGTTTTTCATCGATGTTTGATCGGGGGTCAACCATGTCGGTGTGGTCCTTTTGGGTTTCCCACGAGGAAACGCTGGTATACATGTTTGCCCTTGGCTCACATGTTCCTTTGAAAGGGTGGTTCGGGGTATACCAGGGTGAATGGGTTCAAACCTCAGGTTTGGAGTTCTAAGCGGATCGAAAGGTTTTCCTGAACACTGTAAGAAAGGGTTCCCTTTTGGTGGTGGCAAGGGATTTAGATAGGGTTTACCTTGTTCGTCTTTTGTTTCCGGCAGGGTGGTTTGACCTCAGGGTTGATCATGGGTTTGCCTGTGGTTGCTTCCAGCAGGTGTAAGCTCTAGTTCTTAAAGGGGGTTGGCTAAAAATACCTGGCTCAACCAGATATCTCCTTTTCAACAATTTGACCTCAGGGTCAAGAGACGCAAGAGTTCGGTGAAGGGTGTCTCACGGAGTCCTTGTTTTCGCGGCTTAAAGTCGGGTTTAAACTTTGAAATACTTTAAGCATCAACTTGAACACAATCTTTGCAGTTTCTCTGAATGGTTTTCTGACAGGGATCCTTAGATTGCCTGGGGAGTCGGAGCTCGGCGAACCGTTCCAAGGGGCTATCCCGCGAAAAGCCAAGGCGCCGTGTTCAGAATTACGGGTTTAATAGGCGATAGCCTCCCGACTTCGCTCCCCGGCAGACTTTCTTCAGACCTGTTGGACCCAGTTTCACGCCTCGGAGTGGCCATTCGCTGCATGACATCTTCGGAGAGTGCATAGTGTGCAGTGTCTCTCTGTTTTTTGTTTTTTGTTTTTCGGAATGGTTTGCGATGCTAAGGGAACCCCCCAAGCGGCAAAGCAGTTTAGTATCAATGAAAGGGTGATTCCTCACAACCATGCCTGTGTATGTTTGACTTTCTCCCGGACTTTGCGTGGAGCCACCCGTCCAAGCGATGAACAACCGAGCCACACCAGGCAGTCCCCACTCGCATTTGAGCCGTCAAAACCTGGCAAAGTGAAGCTAAAGGAACAATCCCAACCACAAATGTGCGCGGCCGATGATTTTTGAGAATTGTGGCAGGCTCCTAAAGTGGCCCTTTGAAGGTTGGCGGTTTTCAGCCATACCCTTAGACTGCTGTAGAGTGTGGATAAATTGCATCACACATCCAATTCAACAACATTTGGCAGGGCATCAAGCAATCAAACAAGTCGCTATGTCGCGTATCACAAGTCCCTTTTGCTTTTCCTTTGTGTTCTCTCTCACCCGCAACATGTTGCCACATGTACTTTTGGCAGGTCAAAGTCTGGCCAGTACGTGGCTATCCCACTATTCATGTAGGCTTCTTCAATCCCTACTGCAGCATTTTGTCCACCCACAGAAATTAAGTATTTGTGTTTTGGAGGGTACCCTTTTTGGTTTGGTTTACAGGAAACGACAAGGACACATTTTTTTGTTTGGTGGGTGGCCCGCACAGGGGGCTAACAACCCCGAAGGGGTATGCCCACTATTCTCACGGTGCACCAAGTCCCTGGATCTGTCTCAGAGCCAATAAGGAAGTCTCAAGTGATGGATGTTGAGAAAGTGTCGGATGTGTCCTGGTTCTATGATGTCCTGATCTCTTTCCTGCAAGCGCAAGCAGCTACGGCTCTTTTATCTACTAGCAGTGAGCTAGATTGTAGGAAGGTCACCTGTGTGAAAAGCCGAGAACAGAACAGACACACATTTATTTTGACCTCCAGCATCCAATTGTGCGCCGCAGCCATAGATCACGCAAGAAAAGTGTCCGTAGCCTTTGCTTTCCTTGACAAATCTCTGCGTGCTGATCCTCCCTGTGTTGAGACATATTGCTGTCCGAAATGGGGTGAAGTTCTATCCCGCACACGTCAGAAATATATGTCTAAACGATAAAACATCAGTCGAACAGGAAAGCAATCAAAATTGTGGACGCCAGCCGGGCCAGAAGCTACGACTGGTGCTTGGAGCTGCTGGCTGTTTAACGGAGCATCCAATCGCTCTGGCGGTGTCCTTCTTTACCACGGTTGAACGAAGCCCTGCCTTGATGAAGGCTCTTGATACTTCTTTCGTTGTCACTGCGCTGGGCATTCTTAGAAGAAGTAGCTGGCCTCGTTGAGACAGAGGATGTGAAGTCATGTCAGTGTCTCTGATTTTGTCCTCATGTCCATTGACTAGCCAACTGGTGGGCTGAAGAAGTGACCCAGCGATCTTGACACAGCGCATCATGATGCCGAAGCTGTCGTCCTTGATGATCTTCTTGGCGTCTTCCGGAAGCTTGACTGGATATCCCATTGTCGGCTGTTCCTCCTTGAGTTTCTACAGACTTGTTGGATGTCAGAAATCGTTTTCGCATTAGACATCTTCCGGACAAGATTTCGCTGGCGGACCCACATACTTCAATGTGATCTCACCAGCAGCGTCTTCATGTCTCAGCCACTTCGGATTCTCTGCGTATCGCTGGAGAAAATCTTGGTAAATCTTTGCGAAGTGGTTGATTCGATAGCCTCAAACAGCTCCTGGGAGTTTCTCTCGATATAGAGTGGCACTTCCTTGAAGGTCTAAAAGGCATCATTGATGTTAACAGACTTTGCCTTTTTTTTAATAAACTTCACCCTGACACCTTTCTGACTCCGAACGCATCATGATCTGCGAGGGCCCAAAGTATCTCTTCGTCCTCAGCGCCGACGAAGCCTTCTTCATCTTCAACCACAAATCCGTCTTCGCCTTCATATTCTCTTGATTGAAGGCTGCAGCCGGTGTTCTGTTTTGCTCCTCAGAATGAAATGCTTCTGATACTGTGTCTTCAGCAGCTCATAGCTGTAATTCTCGGGCTGAAGGTTTGTCATTGCGCTTCTCTTCGTTGGTCGGTCAACTCCCTCCCGGATGATGAAAAAATGGGCAACACGGTCGTCATTGAATGGGAACGTGCCTCGGTGTCTTGCTGTCATGGCCGGTGCCCATCTTCAGCTGATGGCTGCGGCTGCACGGCTTTTCTTGCATTCTGCTTGGAGGTACTGTGGTGACTGTGCCGTGATTGTAGACATCAGGTTTTTTGTGGCTCCACTCATGTGAATGTGGGCCAATCCTCTATATGAGCTCCTCATATTTGGGCCAGCTCACACGCACGCCCTTCTCAACATGGCAGCAACTTGGCGGTCATTGACCGGGGACTACCAACGCGGCAGGATATGCCCACTATTGTCCGAGTCACTGTGTTCTGGACTATCTCATCTATCTCAGAACTGGTCAGGAAGCATCAAGTGATGGAGGTTGAGGAAGTTTCGGACATATACTGTTTTGCGGTGTTCTGATGGGAATAGCGCAAGCAAGCAAGCAAGCAGCAGCTCTTTTTATCTGCTCGCGCTGTAAAAGTCAAAAGGGCCCTGGGCTTGGGCGCATCATGTGCTAGATTGCACGAAGGTCAACTGCCCCCCCCCAACACCGAGAGAATTTGCGCAGCACTTGAGGCATTTGACGAAGGGAGCCACCGACTTCGCAGTACTTCTCCCGGCGATGGCAGTCAAGGCGGGGCTTGCAGCTGTGTGGGGTGTTGTGTCATGACCGAGTTTTCAAAGGGGCATGGCATGGAGGTTCCCAATAGACAGCGATGTCAAGGATTGTCCAGCAGATTTGAATCAAGGTGTCAGTTCTTTGCATGCTTGTCTTGCATGGAAAACGTTGGGCCAAGCGCGAATTTTCCTGCGAGCCCCCTGCGAAGTTCCAACGACGGAAGGTTCTGCCAAGGCACATTGATCCAGCCCAGCTGTCAGGGTTTAAAGGTCTGATCAGGACCTTCAAAATAGATTCATACAAGGGTCTAGCTAGATTGCGGAAACCGGTGGTCCGTCCGGAAGGGAACGATCCCTTCTAAAATTGGTCGGCGTTTTCACGACGAAGCAGGAGTTTCGCAAAATCCCGGGCTGCATTCAGGCTCATGACTCGCCAGGTGGCTCACACTGCGCAAGGGTTCTGGGGATGCCTCCCAAATCAACGGGTTGTGCTGAAAGGAGACTAAGTTGTTACCAATAAAGTAGGGGTGTCGAGCAAGTAGCCTCATGGATGACACTGGTCACCACAGACACCTGAGTGAACATGGCTGCCCACACGAGTCAACGGCATCGACCGCAAGACGATCCAAACACACAGCGCCAGCTAAGTCAGTTTTCTGTGGACTTGACCAAGGTGCTGGGCCAGGCAAAGCAGAGAGCACCAGCTTGGGCAGCAAATCAAGGTGCTAAGTGGAGCAGCCACACTCACTCAACCCCCAAGAAGCAAGTTTGGCAACAAGTTGTTGGTAACGAGTTGCACAACATAGTCGATGCCGCACGCTAACTGAACAACTTAACACACTCGTCGGAAACAATCAACACTGGGCATGTTTTTCCAGGACCCTCAAAAGCGACAATCATCACATCTTGCAAGCCAACGGACAAAGAAACAAATTCAACAACACCATGCGAGATTATCATATAACAGCGGAACACTGAGATGTTTCCTAAAACCAAAAGCACAGAGTGTCGCTCTTTGCCGTTGCTATCCAGTCACAGCCCAATCCGCCGTCGCTTTACAACACAATTCTGAGCACTGCCACAGGTCAGGGTAAGAAACATTCACCGGAAGCGGCAAGAAGGGCTTACAACTCATGGCTTTGTGTTGACTTGAGTCCATACCATACTTTGGCGCTCACCCGCATTCAGCAAGTTCACCTTACAATGGAAAGCGGTGTCGTGTGCAAGAAGCCGAGCCGGTGCTTTTCAAGACCGCGGCAACAAGCTACGCCGTTTCTAGCAGGGACAGGGCTCGCCATGTTTGACTATTTGAGATGTGCATGATGTGCATGCGGCAGATGCCAACTATATGCGTGGCTGGGAACAGGTGGGAGGCCCTGTATTTTTCCGCCTTGTAGCAGGATCGCGTGGTTCAATATGGTCGGCTCACACGCACGATTTCGGGCATGCGCATCTTGCTGCGCTCATGTCGGCAACCCGTGAAGCCTGCACCGGTTTCGCTTTCTAAACTTTTACATCGCGCGTGTCTTCGCATGCACGTTGGACGTGCGCAGGTCTCTCAAGGACAGAATGTGCAACTTGGCATGTGGGGCACATGCCCCGAATTGAATTTGACGGAATGTGGGTAGGGAATCGCCGTGGAAGCCCTAGAAGACAACGCCCCTGCAAGAGGGACAGTTCCTTTGGAGGGAGTGTACTGAAGGGGCTTAGCCCTATGCGTTTCCCTATGGGCTATCTTCGCCGTCGGCCTTTTGTTGCCTGGAAAGAGTCCCGACTTTGGGCATGTGTGTTGTGCGACCGGATGTTGTGGTTCCTATATTTTGGACAGAGTGCACTGGCACAGGGGAAAAAGCAGATGTTTCGGGGGAGGGGTACTGGTGATCATTTCAGCCGAATTGTGTTCGCTTTGGATCTTCGGACCTTGGGAATATCAATCCATGAAAGCATCCTTCATGATCCTCTAGTAGGCCGTCGATTTATCCCTCTGTAATTTCGAACGGAGCATGTAATCTGCTTGTTTTAGGGGGTTTTGAGCACACCGATTTGGGGCAGAGCGAGCTCAAAACAACGCATGCAGGCAGGTATGCATACATACATGTTCCACCCCCTCGTGCCGCACCCCACCATTCGATGCCCAATGAACTACAATCCTTTTTTGCCTGAGGCATGTTGGAAGGTGGTTCTTGGTATACAACCCGAGAAAACTAAAGTACAAATCCGAAGCTCATGAGAGGAGAAACTGCGGTGTTGCCAAAAGTGTTTGATTTGCTTGTTGTTTTTGGCTTTCCCTCGCTTTTGCTTTTGGCTCTATCCCTCCCAAAAAATATAATTGTGTTTTGTAGTGTCAGCCAGACAACCTCGAACGCCTAGTGTTGTAGATAGTTGCAGACAACGAGTTGCAGAAAGGTCAGAAACACGAGGGATAAAGCCAAAACACAAAAACTGAGGGAAACAACAATCTTGAACAATTCTCCCCTGAGTTTGGTGTTTGAGTTTTCTCGAGGTGTTTGAGTGTTGTGTGGTTTTGTTGAGTTCTTCGTGGGTTTTGAAGTGCATCACCAAAACGCAAGCAACAATTGTTGACTTGGATTAAGGACAATAGAAGTTCAATATATTTGATGGGGCAGAATTAGATTGGCGATTTGAAAGTAGAATTGAAGACCTGGCTTTCAAGCTTTGACTCAAGCTGCTACAAAGCTCCTTTGATGGCTCCCTATGAAGCTTCTTCTAGCGCTCCTTTTTATGGTCGTTGTAAAGCTTCTTAGACGGCCATTTAAATACATGGGGCCCGGGCCAGGGCGAGAATGCACGGAGTTGAACGGGAAAGAGCTCCAATTCAATTAGGGGCATACCAAAACGCTCATTCCACGCATAGAACTTAGTCAGGAGAGCGGGAACTATGTCAAAGGTAGTTACCATGCTTCTTAGAAGTCAAGTCTGATTACCTTTGAACACGGTGTAAATATACATTTAAGTAGGATTGTGATAGAATTGAAGAAGCAAAGATTTGCAATTAAATGTCCAGTTTGAACTTAAGGATTTAAGTAAGAGTGCTTTCCAAATAAATGGGAGCTTACTTAAAGTTGATTGCAGTGCAAGCGGTTTTTGACTTTTATTCCCAGTGATAATTTAAGTAGGAAGTCCTTTCCAAACATAACTTTAATCAAAGTGAGTTCCCAGTTACATTGATTCTTGTACGTCCCCACATACGGCTTCATCTTTGTGGCTACAAGCTATGCTACAGAGGTAGATCATTGGGGGGGGGGGGTGCGGGTGAGCATGTTATGTGTAAGTGTTATATATCGAGTTGGGCGACAACAACACAACCTACCTCACAACCTGCACCTCCAACCACTTCTTTTTGGACGTTGGGATTTTGGACATGGGAAAAGGCAGTTGTTCTGGGGGTGGGTATTATAGTTTTCTTTTTCAGATTCAGCGTGGTGCTGACGGGCATCGCATGGACAATACATGAGGATCCTCTTGTTCCATAGATCCATGACCGCGTCACGGTGCATGTGTCAAGCTTGGTGCATGACTTTGCCAGGTTTGCGATTTGAGCGATTTGCTTTGCCCAGTCACCAGCAGGCCCCAGGGAGGTGGCTCGACAGCCAGTAAACATCCTGGGCTTCTGTACGGCTCACGAATCCTTCGACATATAAGGCTTCCTGCTGAACTATGACCTTGACCCACAATTTTTGCGTTTTGACCACATGTTGCCAGCTCGGCTGGTCCAAATGTTGCAGGTTTGCGTGACCCGGTGCCTTGCCAAGGTCAAAAGGAAAAGCCGGTCCAAGATTCAGAGGGGCGTTTTGGGCACTCAAATAGAGAGGTTTGAGAGGGGCAGAGGGACACCAATGGAAACTTCCGTCATTTACCATTTTCTATAGTGCTTTTGTTCTACCATTCGTTTTGAAGCTGCTCCTGAAGCTTCGCCACATGGACAGTCCCTATGTTGTTCCTTGTTTCAAACATCATGCTACCTATGGATTCCTTGATTCATGGGAAATCCTACTATGGCATTCCTATTATTATCCTCTATATGTCCCATATGATCTTTGGAGGGGGTGACTTTCGATGTGGGCGTTTCCAGACTTCGGAGCCTTGGGCCTTGGGCCCAGGCACGTGGCCGTCATCTTGTGCACGCTGGCGCATGGGGTCTATGGAATTGGCATGGGCGCCTCGATGGGGAAGTTCTACATTGGAACACAGCTAGGGGAACGAGCTGTTTTGTTTGTTGCTTGTTTGGGGCCTCATTCATGGGATTTCTCTGACTCGTATGGCTCTCCTCAATCCAAAGTCGACATCTGGAGACTGGGAGCACAGGAGCTGTTGTGTGTTCCCATGTCTCAAACCTAGACTGGGCAACAAGCAGTGGTTAGGGTGAGGGGATGCTGGAGGATGTGCGGTGTTCGAAGGTAGCTCAAAGGGAAACCAAAGGGGAACGACCTGTTTTGGTTGATGTTTGTTTGTGTGGGATTCAGGGGACTTCTCTGATTGGTATGGTTCTCCAGATCAATCCAAAGTCGACATCAACTGGAGACTGGCTACTCTTCGCCGTCATTTGCAGCAAAACCGGGATAGCATAGGGCAGGCTCGCCAAATTATTCATTGAATGTCTATACCAGTTGGGGGACACAGGGAATGACCTCAAAACCTAACTGGGACCTAACCATTGGCCATAGCCTTGTGCCATAAGAATCCGAAGGTACCACCAGGCATTTCCGGGGATACTCAGTCAAATGACAACAAGCCCTCAGAACGTGGGCAGGATGTGTTCGTGATCAAACGGGGGTGGGGGGGGGGGTTGAGAATTGCTTCCGCCTCAGTCTTCTGGCCACCGCGCCATGAGCTTGGTTGTTTGGTTTCAGACATGAGGGGAAAGTTGTTTTGAAGCAAGTATGTTGACTTCATATGTGAGTTTGTCTCAGAACGGGGGGGGGAATCCCCAACCAAAAAGAAAAGGCTGGTTTCCTCTTGGAAGAGTATCCTCAAAGAAAGACACTCAATCCCCAAGCATCCCCAAACATCCCCACCCTCAACCTATCATTTAAAATTGAACATTGAGAATTGAAAATCCCAAACCATCCCCAACCTCAAAAAATGAAAAGGCAAAAACAAACACACACACACACACAAAAGACGGTTTTTTCCTCTAGGCGTGCTCTTGACCTCGGGCAACTTCCGGCGCTGGACGCACTTCCAGCTGATCTCCGCCTCGGGGTCCTTCACCGCGGCCGCGGGCATCGCCGCCTTCCTGGGGAACCGCTCCAAGGCGCTTGGGGCGGGGGAGGCGGGGGCGGGTGGGGGGGGTGGGGCGGGGGTTTCAAGGGGAGACCAACAAAATCTAGGGGTTTGCAGCCATCCGGTTCCTTGGCTTTTTATGGCTTTTTAGCTTTTTAGCGGGGATTTCCATTTGACCTGCTAAAAGTTAAACTTTTAGCGGGGGATCTGAGGGCAGCCCAGAAAAGGACCACCGAAGACATGCCTGTGGAATCCCGGTTTCCCGAAACGACACGCGAAAAAGGGGGGGTCTATTTTTTAGGGTGTCCTTTTGGAGCCAGAAAATGGTAAGGGTTTCCGTTTGGATTCCCGGAAAACGGAGCCGACTGAAGCCCAGAGGCTTCCCTTTTCGGGCCAACTTTGGGTTTCACTCCTGGAGGCTCTCACAGACTTGGACCGCAAGCTCTTTGGGTTTGGACTTTGTGACGAAAAGGTTTAGACTTGTTTCGACCAACTCGCTTGATCGGAAGTGAGTAGAGGGAAACCAAAAGGAAACGGTTGCTATAGGGAGCCTGGCGTGTTTCTCACACTTATGGACAGTTGGCGTCCAGCCGTTTTTTGGAGGGTATTCTTTTACAACCCGATTTTTGGTGGAGCCAGGGATGGAGGGAATGAGCCCGAACTGAATCCTGAAGCATCCAACTGGTCTGAAAAGGGGAGTATTGTTCGGGACCAGAGAACCGACATTTTGTTTTAAACCAAGCTTGCAGGTTTCGTTCAAGTCAATACATGGAGCCATGAATACGTGGGGACTAATTCAAATGGGATGGTACTTGGAAACCAACCTCGAGATCAGCCCGTTACGCACATTTGGGGTCACATACATTGCTTCCTTGTAAAACTGGTTTGGATGCCTCCTTCCACTGAAACCCTGTTTTACCAGCAGAACCGGCACTATTTGGCATGGGGTCACTTTTTGCGCAGGGAAGCGATCACCCCCCCACCCCTCAATCCGGGAAAGGTTCTTGGACTCTTACTGCCAATAGAAGGCTTCCTTTCCCGTTATCTTCAGCAAGCGATCACCTACACGTACAGTGAGTATTGCATTCATCAAGCAGTAGACTTGGGGGATCAGGCATTGGACACTAAAATAAGCCCCAACCTGCAGACCACCCACTTAGCTCCAAACCACTAATCCCCCAAGAATTCAGTTGCCCAATGCGTATCGACCTCTTGACCTTTTTGCTTTTCCAATTTGGGTTTAGCTTGTCCCAATAGGTTAGCAATTAGCAAGTTTTCTTCCCGCAAGTGAGACTTGAGGGAAGCTAGCTTTGCAACAATTCAACCTGTTGCTTTTCCCCTAGGTTCCCTAAATAAAGGCGATCCACCCAGGGAAGCGACTGATTTTGTGTTAGGAGAAGGTGATGGAGCTGGCTCAGCAGGCCTGCCGCTACATCTCCGGAGACCAGTTGACCTGGGAGGACATGGCAGGCCCGGAAGAGGGCGGCTTCCTTTCGTCAGAGAAATGCATGGGTTCACGGGTTTGTCTGGCTCCTTTATGATTTGCACACCTTTGGGTGGACAAACAAAAACGCATGTGGACAAATATGAAGCAGAGTTACCTTTGGGTGGACGAAATAATTATAGATGTAGTATTTCTCAGCACATAATTGGTGTCTGCAAAAATCAGTTTGCCGGTTCTTAGGGGTTTCGAGCGATTCCACAAAGGACTGAGGGGGATGGGTAAAACGAGCAAAAGGTCCTTTACTTGGGCGATTCCGTTGGTGACATGGACACATGCCCCTCCCTGCCTGGCTTCAAACGAGTTCCTAGACTTTACGTGAACTTTCTCGGCTCAACCTGACAAAGGCTTGGGACATTGAGTGGGGTTTGCCCGGGAAGACACTCCTGCAAAAGCCGATCACGTTTTCGTGCAGGTTCCACAAAGAATCCGTTGGGATACTTCAAAGCGGGGCCTGAGGATAGACTTCTTTTCTTGCCCTCCGGCCTTAGGGCTCCCAACCCCATACCCGAATGTGCCTGGCTAGCACAGGTTTGTTGGGGATGGGAGAAGTGGATGCGTCCTATCGGAAATGGATGATCATTTCTTGATTCAGGTAGACTTAAACCCAGAGGGAATGGGGTTCAATGTCACGTTGTTTAATACCAAGGATGAATTCGGGTTTCTCATGGGAATCTGACTTGGGTATCGCAGAAATAGCTCATTTGGGGGTGCTTTCCCTTGGATACCCGTTGAATTGGCAAGCTTTCAACTTCTTGTTGCAGGTTTCTTCTTGTGTGTCAAGGTCAAACAAGTAAAACGCTGGTTTTGGACAGCAAACTTAGGTCAGGGTGGGTGTCCGTTTCACATGCAAAGCCGGGAAAGTGACCTCACTTCCCCACTTTCTAGACTTTAGGCTTCTATATTGCCAGTGTGCCCCCTCGAGTCCCTTCAATTTCCACAATCTCGCAAAACCCAGACACCCAGTGGTACCCGGTTTTCTGTTTTTGGGCAGGGGGGTTTCCCTTCAAAATCCAGCAGTTCCATTTTCCCCATGGCCACTCGGCTTTTGAGTTTGGGCCCAATATCCAGAAATAGCATGGGACGAACACGTTGGAGGGGCTGCTCTCCTAATTTTGCATGCCCCAAAATAACTCTATTTGGGTTTGTCCTCAGTTTCGCGCGCAAACGGTTGGAACATGTCAGAACCGGGAAGCCCCCAAGTTGGACACCCTTGTCCATTTGGTTTCCCTTTCATTGATTTCTTGGTTTTGCAACACGGTTCCGCACAGCAGCATATCTTTTCCGGTCGTAGCTCACACCCACAATTCCTACGACCCAAACCGTGTAGCCCTGGATACCCCTGGCAATGCCCCAGAGCATGCACCTAAGCTTGGTTTCTTGTTGTGCTCCTTAACCCAGCCAACCCAAACCACTTAAAGGGAAGCTGGCCAATGTTTGCCTCCATGGGCCCCCCCAACAGTGCCATGTTTGTTTTGTTCCTTTTGGCTTCCCCTTTCGCCCATCTCCAACTTTGGGTTCCCAACAGACTTTGTGAATCCAGGCTCGGAGCCCAACTCGAAGCTCCAAGCCTTGTCCACCAGCTGCTCCTTGCAGGAGAATCCGTCCGACTGTTTCGTCTTCGGCTTTGTTTACTCGGCTGTTTTTCCTGGGGTCTGAAGAGACGTTTGCAAGAGTTAGGATGTTTTCCCCCCACTGAGCTGCAAAAGGCTAAAAGCGTTTGGAGTCAGCTTGAATTCTGATTCGGTCGTGCTTACGCGTACCGTTGCCTTTCTTGGGCGCCTTTGCTCCTACTTCACGGCAGCGAATGCGCCAGCAGATCCCAGCATCTTTGGCTTTGTATGTTTGGGGCTGGGACTCTTATTTCTGTGGGTCAAACCGGCCGTGCGAGAGTGTCCAACCCAGTTCCAATGACCTGGCAGTCGACTGTCAGGACATCGATGCCTTCCTGAGCCACAGCTGGCACGACGCGGCGGAAAGCAAGTGGGAGGCGGGCCGCGGGGCGGTGGAAACCCTCCAGGAGAAAGCTGTTGCTAAGGGCCCTTCGGAAACTTGTTTGGATTCTATGATCCTTAGTGAAATTTGAGTCGTAGGATATAAGGATATAGGGATGGACCGCTTCAATTCCGCAGGAAGGTATGCAAAGTACATCATAGTCTGCTTCGAATGGGCGCTGCGGCTGTTTCAGCGGAGCACTAAAATGGTGGGTTTCCTCTTGGTTTCCATTAAACACTAGCCAAGAATGGGGCTACCCACAAACAAGACACCCCAATAGAATCTGAAAGTGAACAAATTTCAAAGCAACGGTGCTTTCATGCAAAGGCATGGATACCCTGAACAGCAAGTGTACGTTGAAAAACAACATTAGACTCATGCCATCGATTTGAGATTTTCCAGGGCAGCTTTTGGCCAACCTGAGCTGTTACATCTTTGAAAGTTGATCAATTGATCCCCCATTCTTTTCACCCGTTCGTTTGACAAAACCATTCCTTTGGCTTGTGATAGGACAAACAGAAACCTACCACATTGCGGGTCCTCCGTTATCAGAAACATGGATTTTCTTTTGGACCCCGTTTTAAAGGCGGGCACATGGACACCACATAAACCAGGGACACTACATAAACCACACACCGCATAAACCACATAAACCATACTCATTTTTGACAACCCCCCACACCCAGCTGAACCCCCCCGCGCATCCGAACGCGCGCATCAAACACCGCGCGAGGCACTGCAGGCTTGGCGTCGAGCCTTCAAGGCGCGGAGTATGCGGAGTGATGTGAGGGAGAACACGGCAAGACCCAGCAAGAGGTCGGTTTCCAAGAAAGGCAGGTTTTTTGCAAACCGCAGCTTTGCGGGATTGGGTTTCATGTAAATCGGGGGTTGCGGGGCTGTTCTCTAAACATATGTCAAGTTTCGGGTAATTAGACTGGACGTGGATCAGAATCTTCTGTTGTCTTGTGTCGTCTTGTTGGTGCCAAGATCTGGGGGGTCCATGGAAAGGGCGTGCTTTCAAGAAAAGCACCCTCAACCTGCTCAAGGGAAAACTGTATAGAGGGCTTTGGTTGGTGGGGATGTGTTGAATTCGGATCAACCAATAGGCTGTTTCGCGACTCAAAGTGCCACCCCCTATCAACTAATCAGGGCTTTACTTGCTGGTGCTCAGAAGGGAACTTATAAACCATCCCTTGTGGCTGTTTTCATTCCCACATTTGGCCACTGAGCGCCAGCAAGTCAACCCTGGATTTGTTGTTAATGACTTCGCATTCTGGAGGCCACACCAGTCTGACGATTAGACGACGGATCAGCTAAAAACCACAAGGGACTTCTAACTAGCATTCCTAATCCCCAACCCCCCACCGCCCCCCCCCCCCCCAATTTCTCCGAAGTTGACATTACAAGTGGGGTGTCCTTAAAAGCAGGAAATCCAAACGGGGGCTGTTGCACTGTATACTTGGGCTTCCCTTGCAGTAAAACAACATCAAGCAGGGCAACCTTGAAAACATACAGACCCGAGTGGGTTCACCTCTTGTCCCAACCTTGTGAAATTTTGTGTCGCAGCAAAGATTCGGACCCCCATGTTTCCTGGGATTCCCTTTCAACCGACTTGCAAAAAGGCCACCAAGGCTCCAAGTCGCACACTTGTTCGGTACTTAGGCCGCTCGGGTTCAGTGCACAGAGAGAACCAAGGGCCAATTCGGTGGGCGACCCACGGTCTGGGGTTTCAAGTGTTCGGGATGCACAAGCCAAGACGAACCCATTTCAAGTCGTTTTTCCAAGCAAACTGAAAAGCTAAAATCTTGGATGCTCCCCCCAGGGGCATCCTTTCTCCTCGGGCGGTTGTGGAAGACAAGGCCGGTTCCTTGTCCACTTCCATGGGTACACACAGATGTTAGCCATGTCTGAGACGGCTCTTTTCTACAATGCTTGGCCAAAAGCAAAGGTAAAGAGCCAAATAAGTTTGACCACGTGGCACAAACCCAGTTGGGCGTGCGTCACACGTCACATAGGGCAGAGCCTCAAAACAAACATACATCTACGGTTGGTGAACAGGGAAAGCAACGGGGAAGACAAACTGTGGGATCCAAATCCGTATTCTGACGCATGGAACAACGACAGGAATTGTTTTCCGCTTCGTTTAAAGGGATATCACAAGGAACACCTCGAACGTGTTTCGTTCCCTTATTTTGACACATAACACAAACTGCCGAGCAACTAGAACTATTCCCCTACAAACATGGCCAAACAAACACAGCTTTCAATTATCCCACACCTAAATTATGCTTTCTGAGTTGTGTGTTTCTATCTATGTAGTTGTGTTGTTTCTTCATTGTTCATAGTTCATTATTATTATGCATTGGCGCATTTGTATAATGTATGTTGTTTATTTCTGTTCATCAATTTGTACTTTTGTTGTGTTTGTTGTGTTTGTTCAAACGCGTATTCATTTGTTAGTGTATTTGTGTCGTGTGTTGTATTTAGTCATTCATTTTGTCCGCGTTGCTTATTCATCCATCCATTTCATTTTACTTCATTTCATGTTATTTCATTCATTCATTCATTCATTCATTCATTCATTCATTCATTCATTCATTCATTCATTCATGGATTTACAAATTTGTGAGGGCCGTCCTAAAACCCAGTCTTCGGTTTTAATTGTCGCCGAACGGAGAGATGTAAAAGTCGTCACCCACAAGGAGTGCGCAAGTGCGGCCCAAGGCATGCGCAAGGTTACAGTTTTTGAAGGGTTTCATGCACTGATGTTGCCTAGCATCATGAAAGGAGGTGATATATTTTTCTGTACTTGTGCTATTCGAATATTGCTCGGGTCATGTGAGTGCGTCTGCCTTTTAAGTTTTGTGAGTTGTCCAGGGCGAATGGCTGAAATACACGCAAGTATACGCACACACATCTGCGGTTTGCCGGCTGCTGCGTTTTCTTCAGTCAGACGCCAAAGGAAGCCAAAGCTTCTGCGGCCATGATTTCAACAATCAGCAGCTGACACAACAAAATCCGCACAAGCCACACACGAGCCGCAAGCAAGTTGCGCGCGAGCACGAGAAGCCCCAGCAAGACATCTAGCCATTTGCTGTCTCGGATATTTGCTGTCTCGGATATTTGCTGTCTCGGAGGTCTTGAGCGGCGCTGTTCAAGCAGTGAATGGGCAGCCGTAACCTGCACTGTTCTTCTTTCAGGCTGCGTCCAAGCTGTGTGGCAGAGCCTGCTGTTCTTTCCGCAAACTGAGGTGAACGAAATCTAGTTTCTGCGTCGCTGTGCGCGCGCACGTCCGCACAAGAGCCGCGCAAGTGCGGCCCAAGGGCCCAATCCCGGGCAAAAGAAACTAGGAGACCCCGCCCCCAGTTATGTATGTATTTAGTGATTTATATTTTTATTCCCCACCCGCCAGTTGGGGGAGTTAGATTTCTCGAAAATCCGCTTCCAAGCAAGCCAGCAGCTCCAGGAAAGATGCAGATGACAGATTCCAGTGGCAGTCAGCTACAAGTGCGCCCCTGTGAAAGAAGCATGCGTGTCTTCTGGCATGAATGCGAGGCAAACACAGATGCCAGAGTCAGTCAAATGCAGATGAACCAGTCAGATAGCCAGTCAAATGGACATATCAGACGCCAAAGACAGTGAAGAGCAGATGCACAAAAGCCGATTTAATGTCCGGCCATGCCCAGAGCCAGCCAGACACCGCGCGTCCAGTTCTGATGGGGCTAGCTATGCTCAGGACCGAGTGTTTGCGTAAACCAGATGCGCAGGTGCTTCTGCGCGGGGCCAGATCTGTTGGGGGGTTAACTGGAGAAGGCCAGGGCCTATCAAGAACTGAAGCTTATCATCATCATGCTGAAACAACCTCGACAATGCGATGCTATCCAGCCCCCAAACGCCGCCGCGAGAACTAGGCACCGTGGCAGTATAGAGCGCGGTTAGAAAGTTGCAAACTTAAGCTGGCCTGGGGGAAGACCGGTAAAATGAAAACTAAGAAACGCTGGCCGGAAACACTTGGAACACATTCTGGCCGGAGTCGGAAAACCCGGCAAGCCTGGCCGGAACGTCGAGAAGCAGGAAGCGCTCGGAAAGACTGGCGGGGGCAAGCTTGACAAGACTGCCGCTAAAACCCAGACAACACTTGGAGGAAAGAGGCGGAACAACTGCGCGGAAAGAAGGAAAACTGAGCAAACAACTCAGAAAAAACCGGGCAGGAACCGGAAAAGCTTGCCAGAAAACATCGGAAAACGGCAAGGTCCGACGATGCGCAAATTCCTGAGAAAAGTGGCGGCGCAAATCTGGATGGGGATGTAGTTCCCCAGATAGCTGAAAGCTACAGGGGTTCTAACTTCTAATCAAGAGGGGAAAGTGATTTGCGAGATTGATGGGCTCGTGCTAGGGCGCGTGCAGTTTGGGGTGCTGGTGTGGGGGGTGCTGTTTGAGGTGCTGATGGCAGCGCGGGCGCATCTTTTCAAGATTGACGGTAGGGCGTTAGGGGGCATGCAGTTTGGGGTGCTTGTGCAGGTGCTGTTTTGTGGGGTCACGGTGGGCGCGTATTTTTGCATCTTGACGGTAGGAGGCAGGGGGGAATGCAGTTTGGGGTGATGGTGCTGTGGGACGCAGTTTGTTGGGTGCTGTTTGGGGTGCTGGTGACGGCGCTGGCGCATTTTGTTGATATTGACGCTCGGGTGCTATCAGGCATGCAAGTGACGGTGCAGGCGCATGTTTGCATTTTGACGGTAGGGTGCAAGGGGGGCACGCAGCTTAGGTGGCGGTTTGGGATTCCGTTTAGGGTGCTGGTTGATTTTCGCAAGATTGACGCCTGGGTGTCTTGGGGGTGTTGCTTGGGGTGCTCTTCAGGGTGATGGTGCGGGCGCATTTTGCTTGATTGACGGGCGGGTTTTGCTTGGGGCGTTCTTCGGGGGGTGCTTTCGGAGGTTCTGGTGTGCAAGCACTGCTATCTGGGGTGTAATGCTGGTGTATTTTGTTTGTTTATTGAATCAGTTTCTGATTTAGATATCAATCGGTTATGTACTAATTTGCTATTTCGGCCCTTGTATGACTTATCTTTTCAACGAGGTGCAGCATCAGCGCGAGCCGCGGCTCTGGATCGACAAGTATTGCATCGACCAGACTGACATCGAGGCGCTGATCTCTCGCATGTAGTTTGGTTTTATGCCGCCACCCCAGTGCCAACAGTCATGATTGTCAAGAAGGTTCTCTATAGTGGGATTTGTGCCCCTATAGCAAACCTTGGAACTAGGCGGAGTTCTTTGCTTTGTGGGGTCTGAAGAAAACATCCCCAAGCAGGCTGCAAAATTCACATTTCAGTCCCTGAAATGAGTTGCCCCTGGCAGGGGTGATGTTGCGATGTTAATGGGGAACATAGCGAACCCTGCGCGTGCTAGACCCTTAAACTTGAATACACATTTGGGTCGTTAAAACCTTATCTGACTACCATCCGTTTTGAGGATCACCTTGGAAAGCAAGTGGTTTTCCGGCTGTGTCCAAAACACAACATGTTTATTTCTAGTTGATTTGTCAAGCCAACCTGACACCCATCCTTTTGTTGAACTTGCATTTCTTGTTGGCCAAAATGTCCATTGGTTTAGTCAAGAGCCAGCACTACTGCTTCGTTGACAGGACTTGGGACTTGGACATAGGGAAAACAGTCGCTGGGGGGTGGGCCAATGGTCATGTTAGCCAGAGTTTCGCTTCAAATCTCACGGCGTTGCACAACGTTTGTCAATTCAATCCCAACTTCCCGGCTTTGGGATGCCAGGAGAATTTGTTTCCCGGCTCCAAAAAGTGTCAGACTTCACAAGCAAGCGTAATCGAAGGTAACCCAGCTCACGGTGGGGCATCCAAGCTGCGCATGGGACATCCAGTGGCGTATCAGGCTGGCTAAACCACACACACAGACTAGCACGTGATGGCGGGTGTCAAACATATCTCCACCATGTGGACCCGGCGCCTGAAAGGGGACCCGAAGGCCATATTTTGGACAAAGGTATCCCCCTTCGAAGCTCACAGCGAATCTCGAACTTGGCTCCCTTTGGAAAACCGGCGGCACCTAGGGCAGCACCAGGGTCCAAGACGGTTTTGAGAACCTCAGGTTTCCCCGTTCGCTGGGAAATCACTTCAAATCACCCAGATTCGTTTCGGAAATGAAGAGAGTACAAACTTTTCTCAACCCCTCTCCCGGCTTTTCATGATTGCAGGCAATACTCTCTTTTGGCTGGGTTCCCTTCAAATTGAACCAAAAAGGTCTTTTCCTCCCTGGCCACCAGGTTTTTTTTTGAAGCTTCGTTTTCCTCTCTCATGCCTAGGCCTTTGGGAAAGTCCATGTTAGAAGTAAACAAGCAGTTTCGCTTTTTGGTTTTGTTTTTTTTGCCAATCCAGGGAGTGCTCGTTCCAGGCGAGCTTGATGTGCTTGCCGGTCTTCTTGGCTTGCTGCCACACCCTTCTCATCATCGCGGGCAGCACCTACTTTGAGCGCCTCTGGTGCGTAGAAGAGGCGGGCTGTGTTTCAACCACCTCGGGTCGAAGGTATATTTGGCTGTGGGTCAAAACAGGGTACCCAAAATGGAACCCTGGTAAATGGAAACAAAGACTAAGCCTGCGTAACCCTAGCTCTTTAATTGTGAGCCACACCAATTTGTTACCCTTTGTTCCCCCTCATGCGGGAGGGGCGTGGGGGACTCACCTAATTTCCCAGACTAACTGCACGTTGTGTTGTGTCGTTTTTGCGAAAACATAAATGTTGTTTTTCCCGGTCATTTAAGTGCCTAGATGGTGGTAGAAAGAAATGGTCAGGACCACTGAAGCTAATTTGAGGCAGTGGTAAGAAAGACAATGGCAAGGATTCCCAAGCAAGCCAACCACTTGATAGCTTGATGGAAACTCCACAGAGTTTTGGCCATGTCACGTCTCCCATTCATGCCCCTTGTCTGGTCAACCCACTTGATTGGAAGCCCTGCCGTTGGCTGCGACAGGCCCAACCGCAAGATCCTTTCGCCGGAAAATTATTTGGTCTCGCATGGATGGTGTTGCAATCGGTTTGCGGACAAGGGTTTTACAACAGTCTCCACTTTGAACAGCTCCATTTGCCAAGGAACCTGGACCCCTGTAAGTGTCCGGTTTAAACGCTTTTACACAGTAGCATGTTTCAAGACCGCTGTTGGATTGATTTGTTGCGTGATGTTTTTGCAGACCTCTGTAGTTGACTTGCAACGAGACTGTGGCTTTGGTTTGTCTTTCTTGTGGCGGGTTGAAGCGCAATGTTGAGAATCAACTCGATTTGTGGCCCAAACGAGGCTCATGATGCCTTGTTCATTGGGCCCTCAAGAACCAAAGGCCTCAGGGAACGTCAAGCATTGCTCGTACTCTAAGAAAAATAAGATCCGCTCCTTTTTGTGGCCGAGAAGTGTGCCTGCAACAGCCGATATTGCGTTGTTTTTTTGTGGACAGATCCAAAAACCAGCATGGGTGTTTCTCCAAATTGTGAACCCCTAAGAATCGCCGTCTTCTTTGTTGTCAAGCCTTTCAATCCGAAAGAGCTGAACAAATCCTGAAACACCCAACAGATGCAGTCCCAACTCTTGGTTCCCATGCCCCAAATCCCGAGTCCCAAGTCCACGAAGCAGCGCTTGGGGTGCTGGTGGATGTAGGTCTTCGTGTACCTCCAGATGCGGCGCTCAGTGAACTCCATCGAGCTGCTGCCCATCTCCGACGACATGGAGGCGAGAGCATCGCAACAGGTTCTACCTGGTGTGGGGTTCTAGGGAACCATATGGCCATGGGTAAACTCCCGTACCCCCAGCGAACATCCCAATCCCGACTAAAATAGACTAAAACTGGCGGTGCACCTACCCCAAATTGTACCATTGGGTTTGACCCACAGCCATAGAACCATCTAGAACTTGAGGTGGGCGTGTCTGGTTCTACTGCCTGGTTTAGTTGTGGCTAATGTTGACCCCGTACTAATCAACCCCAGTTTATAAATTGGGTGTCTCGGGGTTTAGTTGGGATCAGGCCACTTTTGGAGGGGAACACCGAACACCCCCCGTAGTAATGAACTGGGGTTGATGAATATATGGCCGGGAATCATATAAGCCTCTACAACCAAGAACTTGTGAGGACGTGTCATGTTTTTGGGGAACCCATGTTAGGGGTGGTTTCAACAGGACCCACCGATTTTGGGGACCCCTAATGAGACCTTGGGGTACCTGCCACAATGCCAATCAAATGCTTTGCTATAGTGGACTTATTTGGGCTATTCGGGAGCCTTTTGACAGGCATGGAGAGGGGGGGGGCTGGCAGTTGTTTGTTTTGTTTGTGATAGACGTTTTGGCTTTTTTGGTTTTCCGTTATTTCCCCTTCAGACTTTGCGCACCTCTTGTTTTCTACTTTTGGTTTTGGTATGTGTGTTGTTTTTGTTTGCCGTTTTTTGGGTTTCGTGTATTTTCTCTTGCACCAGACTCTGTGTGGCCATAGTTTTGGGTGGTTCTACTGGTTTGCCTGTTTGGCTTTTCATTTGTTTCTTCTTTCACCAGACTTTGTGCTAGCTCTTTATTTCGGTGGTTGTACGTTTTTGCCTTTACGTGGTTGCTTCGTTTAGCTCTTTGTTTGGGTGGTTTTACGTTTTTGCATGTTTGTTTTTGCATTTGCCTTGTTGGGTTTTCCTTCACTTTGTGTGCCTCTTGTTTTTGGCGTTTGTTTATTTGTCCCTTGGTTTCCTGTTTCACCAGACGTCGTGTTCCAGTTGTGCGGTTTATTCTCTTTTGTGTGCTTTATTGGTTCTCCCTGCATTTTTCTTGCGAGGTCTCAGTCAAGGGTGAGGCGAAACACCCTTGCCCCCAGACTAAATTATCTTTGGAATTTATGTTACGTGTTTATGGGAACTCCGTAATAGTCAACGGGGCCGTGACAACGGCACACATAAGCCGTGACCATGTCACGGTACGTGTCAGAAGGAGCTGGCTCCCCAAACTTGTGAATAGTGTTGTTTGGTTCACATAATGTTGGTGTCTATTCAAAATAAGTATGAGATAATGAACACATCATGGTTGTAGGGACCACCCAACCACTGCTTTTTGGACAACACTTGAAATTTTGGACATGGGAAAAGCAGTTGTTGGGAGGACAAATTTGGGGTCACTCAAAACTTCTTAGTCGAGCGTCGTCCAAGACTTTGCGATTCGAAGTTCCGGACATCACCGAGTAGAAAGAGCCCAGCAGTTCTTCTTGGTTCTCAATATTTTTGTCGCAGCATTGGAACTTAAGAATTTTCAAGAAGTCCATTTTGCAGAAGTCATAACTAGCTTCGAGGTACACCAAGCTCACGAACGAATCGCCTATGGAAGTTCCTTGCTTCCCGTTCGGGAGGACAACAAGTTGCTAACCGGTTTGTCAAGCGGCCACTCACTTGATCAAAAGCGAGATTGCTTGTGTTGAAAGCTACACCGGGCGCATGACAACTTCCATGAACATAAACATAGACGCCCCTTCAGCCGCAACCCTTTTAATTTATGGTGTTTTGCCATTGGCTCGACTCATTTAGCTCTCCAACTCTATCCTTTGTCAACTCTATCCTCAGACTCTATCCTTGTCGTTCCTCCACTTTGAAGGTATTCCAATGGAAATGAAAGGACGGCAGCCAGTTGGTGGGTCGGGTCCCTTGTGCCAGTGCTGACTTCCGGCTACGGGTCGCCGTTCGACAGGAGCGGGTGAACCGCTTTGACGTGCAGGCGGCTTCGAGCGCTCGAATGATTCGGTCAGGTTGGGGTTGGGCCCTCAAAGGAGGGTCTTACCCGAGCCCAGCTCCGAGTGCACAGTTGCTTCCATTTGCTTAAGAGTATTTGTTATTTCCCCTGTTGGTTTTAACGGGAATCTATCACTACTGGAAATATTTATTTTTTTGTCCAGGGGGTTTTTCGCTAATGGCAGGTTGGGTGCACCTCCCAAAGCAAGTGCGAGAAAGGTGGAACTTGGCAAGGAAGTGGTTGCAGCTGCGGGTGATGAACCTCAAGCACTACCGTACAAAGTGCTTCGTGATAATTTCGTGAGAGCTTATTTGGGGAAGCCGAAACGAATCAGCGGGGACTCAGCCCTTCATGTTGATTTACGAGCCTTCTACTTTGCTTCCGCGGAATATCACCTGCATACTGGCTATGTTGGTATTGAAGCCAGTTGGAACATGGAGATGAATTGAGCAAAACTCAAACAGGGTCCTCGAAGGATCGCTATAAAAATAAAATAATATATATATATATATATTGAAAAAAACACATCTAGACGACGGGTGTCCCGGAAGCAAAGCAACACGTTAACTCAACTCTGACGCCTCCCCCACCTCATGAGAAACAAAGACGTCAATGTCCCTGCTCAAGCCTAGCCTCTGCAAGTTCTGATAAGCAAGCTTAGCATCATGCTTCCCAATTTCTCGTGTCAGTTTCTGTTGCGCGCGATGTTGTGAGTTGATGCTGTGTGCGAAGCTGTGCGTGGTGCCGTGCGTGATGCTGCGCATGATGTTGCAAATCATGCTGCGCGTGACGCTGTGCGTGATGTTGCCCATGATTCTCTACAACACCTCTCGTCCACTCTTTTTGCCCGTTTCTTTCGTCAATCTCTCTTGTCCAAATCAGTGCGCAGTTACTGCTGCGAAGGCTGGCTGTCTTAGCTACGGAAGTGTACCTCGCACACTACTTTTTCGTGCATAAGTTAAGATTTTCAAGCTGGAGATGCGCAAGTCAACAGGGTGTTTCTTTTGCGCTTTACAGTTGCAATTTGCGAGCTGGACATGATGGAGTGCACTCTCCGAACATTACTTCCGCGCTGAAAAAACGTGATTTTCGAGCTGGGGACCTTTGCGTGTAGAAACTTAGATGTTTCAGCCGGAGCTGCGGGATTGCACTCGCGCACTACTTTTGTACTGAAAAGTTGTGGATTCTTGAGCCAGAGCCATGGGAGTGCACTTTGCGTACTGCTTTTGTTCTCAAAAAAGTTTCCATTTGCCATCCGGAGCAGCGTGAATGCTCTTCGCGTGCTGCTTTGATGCTTGAAACTTGCGTTTTTAGCCGGAGCTGCGGGGATGCGTTTCGCGTGCTACTTTTGTACTCCAAACTTGCGATCTTAAATCCTGAGCTGCGCTGCTCTTCGCGTGGTGGTTGCGTACTTGGAACTTGCGTTTTCAGCCGGAACTGCGGGAATGCACTTCGCGTACTACTTTTGTACCCAAAACTTGCGAGTTTGCAGCCAGAACTGCGGCAGCACAGTTTCCGCACAATATATACTTTTGTACTTGAGAACTGCTATTCTTGAGCCAGAGCCGTGGGAATGCACTTTGCGTACTACTTTTCTACTTAAAACTTGCGAATTTCAAGCCAAAGCTGCAGAATCTTTTGTATTTAGAAATTGCGATTTTGCAGCCGGAGGTCTGGGAATGCTCTCTGCGTACTACTTTTGTACGTAGAAGTTGTGAATTTCGAGCCGGAGGTGCGGGAGTGCGCTTCGCGTACTACTTTTGCACTTTAAACATGCAAGCTTTCAGCCGGAGCTGCGGAAATGCACTTCGCGTACTACTTTTGTAGATAGAACCTGGAGATTCATTCTCCATGAATTTCCTGGTAGTTCTCGGCTTTGACTTGCTTTTGGTAAATCTCGCTGCTTTTTTGCGTGAAGTCGCCTAGAACTACTAAAGTTCCTATATTTTTGTGAGATTTCAGAATTGGTACGGTTTCACGTGTTCCCCGCCCAGAAATACCCGCAAAACGCCCGCAAAAAGCCCGCAAACGCCCGCAAAACCCCGCAAACGCCCGCAACTCAGAAAAAGACGCTTTTTGGGCTCGGGGGTCGCGCAAAACTCCTAGAAACCACTTAGAACGCCCAACACGCCCAAAACTACCAGGAAACTAAAACGCCTAGGAAAAGGCCGGAGAATGAATCTCGAGCCGGAGCTGCAGGAGTGCGCTTCGCCTACTACTTTTGTAGGTAGAAGGAGCGGTTGTACAGCGGGAGCTGCGGGAGTGCACTTTGCGTACTACTTACTTTTTGTGCGAGCAAATTGCGAATTTCGAGCTGGAGTTGCGGGAGCGCGCTTCGTGTTCTACTTTTGCACACATAACCATTGCGATTTTGCAGTCGGAGCTCTGGGAGTGCTCCTTCGCGTACTACTTTTGCACTTTAAACATGCAAGCTTTCAGCCGAAGCTGCGGAAACGCACTTGCTTCTTTGTTGTGCAAGAAAAAGTGCTCTTTGGCTGAAAAAGCGCTTTTGCTTGATGCGGGCTTTTCCCAGTAATGCATGTTTTTCTTGCTTGGGCTTGTGCTGAAAATCGCTTTTCCTCGGTCAGAAAGCGCTTTTACCCGGCCAAAACACGCTTTTTCTGACACGCTTCGCGGCTATCTTGAAAAAGAGCAGTTGTTGGGTCAAAAAGCGCTTTTTGAACGAAACCGCAGAAATTATTGCTTTTTTGCTAATCGGCAGAAATTTTGCACACCCGGAGTGCGCAGGAATAGAGCTGGAGCTGCAGCGGAGCGGGAGCTGCGGGAGTGCACTTCGTGTACTACTTATGTACTCAAAAGTTTCGATTTTGCAGCCAGAATGTTCTTCGCACACTGTTTTTGTACACAAAAAAGCTTTTCGTGAGCCAGAGCCACGGGAATGTACTTCGCGCACCACTGTTGTACTAAAAAGTTACGATTTTCAAACCTGAGCTGCAATGCTCTTCGCTTGCACTTACGAGTTCAGCCGGAGCTGCGGGAACGCACATACAGAGCCGCTTCGACGCGCACGATCTCTGCAGAGGGTTCGCTGCGGTCAAGGCAAATTCGCACGGCGCCACAGCGAGAGCGCTTCGACGCGCACGATCTCCGCAGAGGGTTCGCTGCGGTCATGCAAGACAAATTCGCACGGCGCCACAGCGAGAGCGCTTCGACGCGCACGATCTCCGCAGAGGGTTCGCTGCGGTCAAGACAAATTCGCACGGCGCCACAGCGAGAGCGCTTCGACACGCACGATCTCCGCAGAGGGTTCGCTGCGGTCAAGACAAATTCGCACGGCGTCACAGCGAGAGCGCTTCGACGCGCACGATCTCCGCAGAGGGTTCGCTGCGGTCAAGACAAATTCGCACGGCGCCACAGCGAGAGCGCTTCGACACGCACGATCTCCGCAGAGGGATGCAGAGGGTTCGCAGCAGTCAAGACAAATTCGCACAGCCAGAGCGCTTCGACACGCACGATCTTCGCAGAGGGGTATGTTTCGCTCTCGTCGGGCCTACCCCGGCCAGAAAAAGAAGAAGAATTAAGAGTCGAGAAGTGAAGGTACAAAAGAATAATTAGCTTGTGTTTTTAGGGTGGTGAAGTAACACCCGAAAAGCTAGGTTGTGCTTTTAGAATACCTGCTGGACCACCCAAATCGGCAGAAGTTTCTGCCTTTTTGGAAAAAGGTGCCTTTTTGCTGTTGGCGGCGTTTTCAGTTTCCCTGGCAGCGTGAGTTTCAAAACTGTGCAAAATAGGCGGCAGGTTGCGTTTCGGCGTTTTTTCTCGCGGGCGGCGTTTTTTTGTGCTTTTCGGCGGAAATGTCTGCCGCCGGGGCCTTTCGGGAGAAAGTGCTGCCGGAGGGTCCAGGTATTGAGATAGCACCCGAAAAGTTGACATGAGAAGTTGGCTGGTGAAGTAGCTATCGAAAAGTTGGCATGATAAGTTGGCAGGTGAAATAACTCCTCGGCAAGTTGGCATGAGAAGTTGGCAGGTGAAGTTTGCAGCCGCTTTTAGAAGAAGAACCCTTCGCGATGCTTCCACTTCCGGGAAATTGAACATGCAGCCGATTTTGTCATTCCTCACATGGTGACATGCACACATCTTTGACACGCACTTTCTTTTGAATTGAGGGGCTGATTGTCTACATCAACAGAATATGAGCGCACATCCATTTGTGTCCCTTTTGTCCCTTTTGGGGAATGGTCGCCCATACTGATGATGACTTGACCTTTCCTTCGCGGGGCCTTTGGGCAGGTGATGCTGTAGTTTCTTCTGGAAAAAACTCATGACAAGGTTACAGTCTTTTCACAATGATTTGGAACAGTGAAATCCCTCTGAGAATTCTATGTTTACGGAGTGGCCCAATATTGAATGTGCACGTATGTGTTCTTGAGGCTAAAAGGAGCTTCACAATTGAAACCAAAAATCGGAAACATGAAACCAACATTTTATCCAAGAAGGGGGAGAGCAATTTTGGGGTCCCTTATTTTGACACACCTTGTGTTTTTTTTGTGTGTGTGTGTGCGTTTGTTGAACGTACCCCTTCGGGGACCCCGTTTGTTGGATAACTATACCATAATTATTAAGATTGGATGCGCACGATTTACCGCGCAGGCGGCCCAGTGCGTGCTGAACTCTGACCGCCAGAAGTTGCTGGCGACCATCGAGGCGCTCCACCCGGGGCTATGAGGGAAATACCCGTTTCATAGTGGCAACAAGTTCCCAGCCCGCCGAATGGCTTGGTTCTAAATGGGCTAGTATAATCTTCCGTTCAATGGGTTTGAATTGTACGTTTGCAAGCCTATTAGCTAAACGGAGGCGGCCAAACACTGGGGCAAACGGGGTATATACCCGCTTCATAGTGGAGAGTGGCTGTGTATCCCAAAACCCTACATTGGGTGAAGTGGAATGAGACTGCTCGGTGATGCGCTTTGTCATTTGTGCGGCCTTCCTTCAACCCCAGCAGTTCAGGCTGTCGAAGGCCACTGAAATCCACTCCAGGATCTCTAGATCAACAGGTGACCGCGTCGAGCGAATGTGTGGATTCAGTCTCTGGGGGCAGCAAAAAATCACCCGCCCCGGGGCCCCGCACGCCAGGTCTTTCTTCCACGCCTTGTTTGCGCACGCGGGGTCACGGGGTCATGCCGGGCCTAGTGTCTCCGGTTGGGGCTGTCCGGCTTGGGAAGTATAAACAACATTTGGTAGGGGTCATATGAGAATCACGCGTCCAGTGCTGGAGGCTATGCCGAACTACGGCGGGGATCCATTTGGCATGCGCTGGCCTTGCGGACAGGCACCTGTTCCAGTTTGAAATGTTTTAGCAGTAGTAACTGTTTGGTTGTTGTTTTTGGCGGGAATCTAAAAGGGCACCCGCCATGTTTGGGAATTCTATTCTCCCCCTGCCTCAATCTTTGCGCCTAACCCGTGAGGCGGGCTGTGAGAATTACCGCGCCTTCAACCAGCAGGTCCAGCACGCTTTTCAAGTGGCGCTGAAGCGGGCGAAGTGGCCTTTGACTGTCTGAGCCACCGGCAAGGGGACGTTTTGGGAAGGATAAACGGCGTTTTTCTTCATAGGACCCCTTGGTCTCAGGACCCGACGTCTTGGGAAGGAATCAACTTTTTTTTTCATAGCACCCTTTGGTCTAGCACAGGACCCCTTAGCACACATGTCTTCGGGGTCTCTCCTTGTGGAGTCCTCAGAACCCATGTCCCTGACTTTTGAAGTGGCTGGATTCGTCGAGTGAGTCAAAGGTACCCGGCTACAGCACACCCCGCCCTCTCATGGGCCCTGGGCACCCCAACTCGGACGCAACTCGCACGGACTGGAAACCACCTGGGGGTCCAGAGGGTGGGCGCATTCCACGGAAATTGTGTGGAAAGTCGGACGAACCGTTGCTCCGGCAAAGGTACAACAAATTTGTACCTTTGCCGGGCTCTCATCTAAAGTTATTCAATTTTTTGGGGGGTTGGCTAAATATGGAGTAGAATCTGAACATCCTTTTGAAATACTCCAGAGTTGGAGATTTGGTCCGACTTGCCGCCCTGTTCTGGTACCAAGTCCGGTTTCTTGGAATTCGATGGCTGGAAAGGGCATGTGGAGGCATCCAAATCTCGACATGTGCCATTGTCAAAAGCCTTACTTGCTTGGGGCTCAGGATGGTGTTGGAGCTAGTTTTTGTTCAACCATGAAAAGAATCATGGCCTACTGGAGTTCTGAGCATGGCACATGTGGGAGTTGTCAATCCAAGGAGTTCCTGATGTGTGTTACATACCGCAGGCTAGCTCTAAAAAGCGGCAGCCCAATAGAAAGCGAGCCACAAGCGCGCATAGAGTCAGCCATGAATGCATGAGATTACATGCGGTAGCATCCCGCTGTTTCGCGCTCGGAGTGTGAAGGAGGGCGGGTGTTTTTTGTCAGACACAACAGCAGCCCTGCTATCCCGCAAGAGTGGATGTATGCAGAACCTGAAACCGTAAACATAACGGGTGCTGAGAGGACTAGACCTTGAGTGGTTAAGGTTTGCTTGGCCATATCTTGGCGCGTTGCAGACTGCAAGACGTTTGCAGTTTCTTGGACCCAAACCTTGTGCCCGTACCCTGGTATTTGCCTGGTAGATGTACCTCTCTATGTACCCATGTCATATGTTGCTTGTGTTTGCACTAATTCCTCCGGGATGAGTACGCAACTGGACTGTCACCCCGACAATATGATGCTTGGTAGTCTACAGTTGGTTGGCGAGGACAAGAAATGGGGATTGCCCAAGTATTACACAACCACAGGGCCACAATGTCCCAATTGTCCTCACAAAATGTCATGATGAGAAGATATGATTTGACTTGTGCCCCGGAAACAGGCCAAAACGAGACGCCCCCTGCACATGGAACATTTCGGCAGCCCTAAATTGGCGTCTCAGGGTTTACCTCTCGAAACACGGGCTTTGCGCCGGTTCTGGTGGAATAAAAAAGCAACCGCCCTCCTGAAAGGAGCATGTTCGATGCAGAGACCCTGTCCCTCAAAACAGAGGAACCTTTGAGATGTGGTTTGCCATATCCAGATACCCTTTTGATATATTTTGTTGGGCTTCTCTCATTGTTTGGAGACAAGCCCAACAGTTTGACCCTTTTGAAAAAGCGTTGTGCCCATCAAGTCGTGTTTTTTTGTGCAAGAAGCGCAGCTTCGGAAGGTGTCAGTTCAGTACTTGGGTGCCTCCAATGATTTTTCCGTTGAAATCACTGGGCTGGACAATCAGCGGGTTCATCCAATCGTCTGATGTGTCGGTCATGGTTGCTCCTTCTTGCTCTGCGTGGGGGTGTCCTAAACTTGGAAAAGGACCCCGGCATGATGTTGGAAGGGAAACGCGACACAAAAGAAATAACTGTTGTTGGTGGGGGGCTCATTTCGAACATCGCTACGGACTTGGACAGCGCCGCAGTTTCGTCGTCGTAGTCCTGCGAAGGAGTCCAGTCAGCCATATCTCTGGCTCATTTCATTTGCGGTCGCAAGCAAATGATATCTGAAGACGTCACACGCCTACCCCGTCTCAGGAAACATCCATGCAGACTGCAGCAGCAGAAAGCTGGTTCATGAGTGAGGGATCTGTTTTTCTGTTGAGGTATGACTTTTATGGGCAAATTGTGGCCTTTCCGTGTTTGGACTTTTTGGTGTTCTTGTCTGAGCTACTTGTCTTTTACATATAGTTCTGTCCAGTTTCCTCTGTACCCTGGCAATGTGCGGGATTTGAGGCACTGTAAATCAAATTACGTTCCTGGAGCCTCCAAAGTCTTCACATAGGCATTTTGCGGTGGCCTGTTTGGCCACAAGGCCGCACGTTTAGCACGCACACCAAGACTCAAAACACCGACACACATACCCGCCAGCAACCCGCCAAAACTGCCGCCCGCCAGCAACCCGCCAAAACTGCCGCCAAAACCCGCAAATCCGCTCTCCGCAAGCTCCAAACAAAAACGAAACCTTGAATTCCCCAAATTCCGCAGATTTGGAGGGTGCGGGTAAGTCATAGACGCCTAGAGGATTCTTTTGGCACAAAAAGTTCAGCTGGGGAGGGGGTCCCTTTAATCCACCACTTAAAGGGTGACTTGGATAGCGGTGAAATAATGGGGCTAGTTCGAACCAGCATAGTTTCGCTCGATCCGTGAGCGCAGTTTCTGCGAAGCGAATCTTTGAATCTTCACCCAGGACTTCCCTTAGGCCCATTTGGGAACGTATGAAACACCCCCTGCCAATTTGGAGGGCGGTATTTTGTTGATTTCACATTTCCCGGTTTATACATTGTGGAAACTTGAGAAAATGCTGGGTTCCATATGTTTATTGGAACCTGTTGTTAGCCTGCGGTCTGTCTGGCTTTCCTGCCTGCGCTTGAATAAGTCACGCTTGCGCCAATCTCGAGTTCGGCCTCGGCCACAGACGAGACCGAATCTGCTTCCGAGTTTTTAAGAGAGCCACGGTCAAGTGGACATAGAACTCAGACGGGCTCACCACAAAGCATTCCATAATGATGTTTTGTTTTTTTGTTGGGCGGGGGGGGGGGTGAACATGGGGGGGGCTTGTGCTTCTGATCTCACCGGGTTCAGTCTGATGACTGAGCATGTCAACCACATATTCAGCAAGTAGGGGAAGAAGTTGGGAGAGCTGCGATTTAAAGCACATTACTGTACCGGGCTTTGTGGTTGAAAATTATGTTGGTTCACTTGTAATACTTAGGGACTTCACCAGACGGTCAATGTGCGAGCTTTCGTGGCCGTTTTGCCAAAGAAACCAGTAGCAGTTTTTGGGACCAACCAACATTTGTCCTGGTTGGACGGTTTGGTTGGAAGGTTTGTATCATACGTGTTTTTGGTAGTTTTGTTTGAATAAACAGCCCGCACACTTCCTTGCTTAACCATGGCTCAACTTTGACACAGAGCTCGATTGAATCGGTCCACCACTGAGCTGTGGCAGGCCTTTCCGCGCAATGTCAAATGGCAACCTGAAATAGCCCGAAGGTCACTCAAACCATTTGATGGCCACTGGGTCCTGGCCCAGACCCGGCACACCGGTTGATCTACGGCTTTGTTTCGTCGCGGAAGCTGGTCGTGCTTTTGGGGTGTGCCTGAAAATTCTCGGATCCCTTGTTTGAGGCTGGTTGTTTCAGAGAAATCGATAGGAGATTCAGGGATCCCAGCGTTTTTTTTGTTTCAAGATCACGTCAGGGCCCAACTGAGTATGGGATTGGGGGTCGGGTTTCTCGAACGCTGCCTGCCGGAGCTCAGTGGGTCTCCATGAGACATGCGAAGCGAAGCGGTGTTTTGCTGGAGCCTTTCCAAGAAGGTCTCAAAACTTGGCCCCCAGCCATCCGGTTCCTTAGCTTTTTGAGTTGTCGGTTGGTTTAGTGGTAGTGTCCATTTAACCCACTAGAAGTTGGTCACTTTTAGAAGGGCATCTGAGGGCAGCCCAGAAAATAGGTACCTGCAGTCATTACCCTTCGAACATGGGGTCACCCGGTCACCCTATCATTTTGAGTGGCCATTTGTTAGAAGTCGTGGAGACGCCTGTAAAATTTTGCTAGGGAAACTTCGAAAGTGGGAGGACATCAATCCCCATTCGTGTCACCAAACTTTCCGTGGCTTCCTTTCAGCCTTGAGGCTACCCCGTCGCGCGGGAAACCAAAACGAAAGCCGAAGGAATGTTTGTCCTGAAGAAAAGACACACCCGTACTCGGTGCAGCATGTCCTGGAGTCCTGAGCTATGGTTTCGCAAAGACAGGGGATGGAGTTTTTGTCAATCAACCCATACGGAGATGGCAGAGATGAACACATTGCAGACTCAATCACCTGCCACGCTTCCGTTGAGGAAACTATGTTTTCACGAACGAGCCCAGCACCAAGATTTGTTGCCGGAGGACAAATGCTTTGGGTGTTTCGGATTCAGCGAGGAGAACAATACTTACGAATCCAGCAAAACCGGCGCAGAATGGAATAAATGTTTCCTTGCACAGCACTCAACTCCGGAAAGCCGGGTGTTGGGGCAAGCGTGAATTAGAGAATTTGTTTTTGTGTTTCAAGCACGCTCACAATTTGGGCGCACGTCGACTGGATCGCGGCAAGCTCTCGGGTCTTCGCTTGTTTTGTTTGGGTGTTTTTGTTTCATTTTCATTTACGACCGTCCGCTGTAGCCTTTCTGAGATCTCGTATGAAATGACTTTGCGTTTTAAGTTTCACTATGGACCATAACCACACGGTTTCTGTGTGAGGGTCGGTTGAAGCTAAAGTATGATGCAAGTCCCGCCGTGCATTGAGCCCTTCCTGAGCATAGTACATGCTTAAAATGGTAAAGCCTGCTATGACTCGCACAGAAGTTGATTCTGGAAGTACCTCTGTTTTAGGAAAGTCACGCATGAGCGACGGAAGTAGTGCCGGATTGTATCGGGGTCCCCTTGTTTGGATGGTCACATCGTTTTTGTAGCTTGTGGAATATCGGTTTTAATGGCCCTGGTGGGTTCCTGTAGCACTATTGCCAGGCATT